GTCACAGCACGATTGCTGTATCAAGTAAAGAGAAATCCCAAGAGACCCGACCTTGTATATATACTAGTTGAGGGGGAGGAGCCAGGATGGGCTGCGGGAGAGTTGTTATTTGATAAGGTTAGTACGGCTGTGGTTACTGCCGGGACTGAGCATTTGTTAAGTAGATGGCAGAAGCAGAAAAGCAAGTCAGGACAAAGCAGCCCCTTGCTATGCTGCTGGGTGGGTAAAACTCAAAGCAGGCAACCAGCGTGTGAAAGAGATAATGTCAGTGGTGGGCAGCCAACCCGATGGTGGTTGGTTTTCCACCAACCACCGTCCGGTTGGTTTCCTTTAACCGCTTGGCCGCCAAGACCCACAAGACCCACCAAGACCCACCAAGACCCACTCCCTGCCGTCCTGCCTTCTCGAGCCGCTCGCAGCATCCGTGTGACGCCAGCGAGTGCCGCCACGCGGCAGTGATAGGCTAAGCATTTTTAGCACAGAGAATCGGTGTGGTGTCTGTGATTTCTGTGTGGAACGACTGCGTGGGGGAATGTGCGGCGAGAGTGAACGCGGGGAGCCGCAGTGTGTGCGCGCGTAAAGAGGTAATCGCCCGCAGGTGCAAGCGCGTACGCGCCCCGTGTTAGCAATAGCTGCGGTGTGCACGTGTGTGCGTTTCGAAGTAATCGCCCGTAGCCGTGTTTTGGTGGGAAAACTCAAACGTCGATGACGTTCATGTTAAATAGTGGCAGCCCGCGTGACACTGGGTGTGGTGCATTGGAGCTGATTGGCGTGTGATGGAGAGATCACGTGCGTGGCAGCGTGGTGCACACTGGGAGGCTCGTCTGTCCGTGTTCATTGGCTGTGCGCACTGCTGGCCTGGCAATGGGAAGACATTACCGGGGAACTCATAAATGATCCCCCCCCCCACACTAGATCGGAGGAGGGAACAGGAGCATCACTTCCGTGCGTGGGTCTCTGTGCTCATATGTGGGTATCTGCGTGTCTGTGGATCTCTGAGCGTGTCTGTGGGTAACTGTGTGTTTCTGAGCTTGTCTGTAGGTAACTGTGTGTGTATGTGGGTAATTGTGTGTGTCTGTGGGTCTCTCTGTTCGCCTATGGGTCTATCTGTGAGTCAAATAAAAACAAAGATGAAACCTTAATTCCTTCCGGAACACAGTTGGGTTCACATTCCCACTCCTACCACGGCGTTCCAGGATGTTCCGGGGTATTCCAGCCCATTTCCACCAATGCACCTCCGATTAGCATGGTTGGCTACGTACGTTGCGAAAAAAGTTAATACTGCGTAGGGCTCGTGCTGAAGGTCGCGAATACAGATTCCCCACTCCTGTGGACGTCATCACGTGCCGTCAGAGTGCTTTCCCCAGCGCTATCCGGGAACATTCTAAAATAGATTACTGGTAGGAACCACCTGGTTCCACCAGCCCACAGGGGATTATTGTGTCCGTCCGTCGTGCATCAAAAAATGGGAGGGGTGGGGCTGGGTGAGGAGGGTGGGGAGGGGCTGGGTGGGGAGGGTGGGGAGGGGCTGGGTGGGGAGGGTGGGGGTGGGAGGGGTGGGGCTGGGTGGGGAGGGGCTGGTCACCCCGTGGTGCCCTTATAAAACTCAACGTTTAACCTACTCACGCCGGCTTGTGCCCGCCCTCACAGTCGGCCATATTTGCGGAATACACCACGCCGCCGGTGACCCTGGCCATTGACTGAGCAACCCAACGTTCCTACCAGCTCCCTCCGCAGGAGGAATGTGTTTAATAAATGTGCGGCCACTGGACCTTGGACCCTGCCACACCAATCGAGAAGTGCTACTGCACCTGCATTGTTGAGGAACACTCGGATAAAAGAGAAATATAACTCCACAGCTTGTATTTTAACGAACACTGCCCGTGTATTTGCGCAAGATGTAACTTAAGTGAATCGCACGCGATATGGATATCCAGGGTGCCTAGAATTTTTTTTTTACACTTCTGAGAATTTACAACAATATCACAAGAAATGTGCCTCCGGGCTCTGGAGACCACCTGGAGAGAAGATTCCAGGCATGAGTGGACAATGATGGCGAACAAGTGAAGACTCTGACTTTATGAAGCCATTAACATACATTTGTTATCATGTTACAGTGTATTATCCGTTCTTATTCCATCGAAAACGATAGTTCCGTATAAGTGTAACAAAATTCTTTAAGCACCCTGCATATTCATTTGTCAAAGACACTCGCTGGCTCACTTTCAATCAACAACAATATGACACAAGAACAACACCAAACCAACATGAGCAAAATAACATAGCGTATGAACATGAACACCAACAACGATTTTACTTAACAATAATATTAACATCAGCAATAAGACGACATTGTAACGTTGCAATCATGAGACGACTTATGACAGCCTTGTGCAGCATGAAAAGCAGTTGAACATCTTTTACGTAACATGCAAACTGGAAGAATAGTCTGTTCTGGAACGTGCGTTGTATTCATAACGCGAATTGTATATAACGCGATAAATGTATTAGGGAACAGGTTTTTTTTTTACAATGCACATGCGAATTGAATATAACGCGATCGAGTAGGAATAAGCGGTTGTGACGGCTGCCTTGGCGTAGCATCGCGCAAGGCGGGATGCTTCCAGATGCAACCGAGTGTTTGTTAAGCCTGCGTAGGCATCTCACGCGTTATCGCGGACTATGCTTTACCCTGCATTATTCATGATCACGCGATTTTTTTCCCCCAACCCGGTGTTCTTCAGGAACGCAACAACTGCTACCGCATTATAGGAGGAAGAGACTGCACAGCAAAGCAGACAAAAATACAATTGCAAAGTTACGGAGAACTGTTTTGTCATGAAATTTGATATCGCGGAAAATTATATCACCGCAACCATATATCCCACTTATATATCTTCCCACCAATAGAGGTTCAAGTAAAATGCATTCAAATGACATTAACAATTACTGTGAGGTGTAACTTAGATACCAATTTCAAATTATCTAATGCAATGGCATACTTGAATCACGTGCCGTCACAGTGCTTTCTCCAGCGCCATCCGGGAACATTCTAAAATATATTACTGTTAGGAACCACCTGGTTCCACCAGCCCACAGGGGATTATTGTGTCCGTCCGTCGTGCACCCAAAAATGGGAGGGGTGGGGCTGGGTGAGGAGGGTGGGGAAGGGCCGGGTAGGGAGGGTGGGGAGGGGCTGGGTGGGGAGGGTGGGGGGTGGGAGGGGTGGGAGGGTGGGGAGGGGCTGGTCACCCCGTGGTGCCCTTATAAAACTCAACGTTTAACCTACTCACGCCGGCTTGTGCCCGCCCTCACAGTCGGGCATATCTGCGGAAAACACCACGCCGCCCTTGACCCTGGCCATTGACCGAGCAACCCAACGTTCCTACCAGCTCCCTCCGCAGGAGGAACGTGTTTAATAAATGTGCGGCCACTGGACCTTGGACCCTGCCACACCCCAATCGAGAAGTGCTACTGCACCTGCATTGTTGAGGAACACTCGGATAAAAGAGAAATATAACTACACAGCTTGTATTTTAACGAACACTGCCCGTGTATTTGCGCAGGATGTAACTTAAGTGAATCGCACGTGATATGGATATCCAGGGTGCCCAGAAAAAAAAGTTTACACTTCTGAGAATTTACAACAATATCACAAGAAATGTGCCTCCGGGCTCTGGAGACCACCTGGAGAAGATTCCAGGCATGAGTTGACAATGATGGCGAACAAGTGACGACTCTTTGACTTTATGAAGCCATTAATATACATTTGTTATCATGTTACAGTGTATTATCCGTTCTTATTTAATATAAAACGATAGTTCCGTATAAGTGTAACAAAATTCTTTAAGCACCCTGCATATGCATTTGTCAAAGACACTCGCTGGCTCACTTTCAATCAACAACAATATGACACAAGAACAACACCAAACCAACATGAGCAAAATAACATAGCGTATGAACATTAACACCAACAACGATTTTACTTACCAATAATATTAACATCAGCAATAAGACGACATTGTAACGTTGCAATCATGAGACGACTTATGACAGCCTTGTGCAGCATGAAAAGCAGTTGAACATATTTTACGTAACATGCAAACTGGAAGAATAGTCTGTTCTGGAACGTGCGCTGTATTCATAACGCGATGAATGTATTAGGGAACACATTTTGTTCTTTACAATGCACATGCGAATTGAATATAACGCGGTTGTAACGGCTGCCTTGGCGTAGCATCGCGCAAGGCGGGATGCTTCCAGATGCAACCGAGTGTTTGTTAAGCCTGCGTAGGCATCTCACGCGTTATCGCGGACTATGCTTTACCCTGCATTATTCATGATCACGCGATTTTTTTCCCCCAACCCGGTGTTCTTCAGGAACGCAACAACTGCTACCGCATTATAGGAGGAAGAGACTGCACAGCAAAGCAGACAAAATTACAATTGCAAAGTTACGGAGAACTGTTATGTCATGAAATTTGATATCGCGGAAAATTATATCACCGCAACCATACATCCCACTTATATATCTGCCCACCAATAGAGGTTCAAGCAAAATGCATTCAAATGACATTAACAATTACTGTGAGGTGTAACTTAGATACCAATTTCAAATTATGTAATGCAATGACATACTTGAATTACATATAATTTAGTTGTCATTAACATAATTTGTGCTATTGTGTCGCAAGAGCCAGATAGTTGTGTCGGTGATCCAATACTGTACTCAGATGTTAACTATCTCGTCTGGTGACATTAACCAAGCAATCCTGTGACATTAACCAAACAAGAGTAAGCCACGTATTCCGGTGCCACGGTCCGAATTTCCAAATTTGCAAATTACTCGACATTTACTTTATTGGGTAAAACCACACGGCAACATCACATCTGTGAGTAGGACGGAGGTGATGGTGGGTGGTGGGGTGGGGGGAGAGCGGGGCCCAGTTTTCTGGGGGCCTTTGGGCCACTAGACCAACAAGTTGAGAACTATTGTGGCCTTATGTCACGGGGTTGGTGGGACTGGAGGTCGTCTGCAGTATGGCCTGCAGGCTGGCCCAGAAGATGGCCTGCTTGCTCTCCTCTGCCGGCCACTCTAGGTAGGTCTTTCTGTTGAGGAGCCGACGCAGCCTGCAGAACTTGTTCGGCAGCGAGTTTTTGGGCAGCGACTCGAGCAGGACCAGCACGAGCGAGTCCTGGTGCTGCTCCATTATGCGGTGCTGCGCAAAGTAGAGCTCGTAGTTGCACCACTCGCTGTTCACGAAGCTCTTGGAGAGGACGAAAAGTGTCTTGGAGGACCCTTCGATGCAGCGAATGATATTGTCCACGACCCACTCCCCCGGGGTGAAGTCCCGTTCGTGCACGCACAGCTTCAGGTTGGAGCCCGAGTTCTCGAGCCTCGGTACCAAAGTTCCTTCCACCCAGTCCGAGTCCATGTGGCTGTAGGAGATGAACGCGTTGTACTCAAAGGGGGGCGCTTCCCCACTTGTTACGTGCTTGTAGCCCCTCCGCTTGGCTCCCACCCATATCCAGCCCATCCTTATGTACCAGACGGCGTCGAAGTAATAACCCAGGCCCAAAACCAACGCTACGACCACCGCCGTGATCACGACGCTGAGTCCGATCGCGATCCTTTTGTCGCAGGATACAATGCTCGGGTTGAAACAATCCAGAGTCTTCTCTGCCAGATTCTCTGGATAACTGCAGACGTATTTTTGAGGCCAATCCACCAAGAGAGATTTATCAAATGTCTGGCGGAACCAGTAAAGGTCGCACATGCAATAAAAGAGGTTGTTTCCCAATTTGAGGGCCCTGATTTTCGGAAGGAGTTGAAATGTCCCTTTAGTTATGATTCCCAGCGTGTTGTAGTCAACGTGCAGGACCTGCAGGGATGAGGACTGTATTTCTGGCTGGATGTAGTGGATGTTATTGCCCGTCAGATACAGCTCTCTCAAGGACTTTGCATCATCGAGGATGTAATAGGGCACAGCCTCCATCCGCGTGTAAGAAAGATCTAACACCTTCAGCTGCGGCGATGTGCAGATGCGGGAATCTTTGCTGATGTCATTGTTCCGCAGGATCAGTGTTTCGAGAGTTGGAGGCCAACTGCAGTCGTCAATGTCAGTGATATAATTGTAACCAACGTCCAACAACGTAATGCTTGGCATTAGAGACACCATGCTGGATATGATTTGCAGATCCGTGAACTTGTTATTGCTGATGTAAAGTTCAGTGGTGCGTGGAAGGATGATTGTATATTTGCAGTTTGTCCACCAGAGGCCTTCCTCGTCGAGGAGGTTGCTTGAGAAGTCGAGCCAAGTGATAAATTTGAGTTTCATGAAAAAACACTCCACTTTGTTCATGCCAGTGTGGGATATTTTAAGTTTGGAAAAGGATGGAAAAAGTGTGAAATTGATAGCAAACTTTGGGTAGGTCATGTTCAGGTGAAAAATCTGATTGATTGTTACTTTCTCAAGAGGCGATAGTTTGGTCACATTCTTAAGGCCGAAGAATGAGACGACGTTTTTATCCGTGTACGAGGAGTTTGTTATCTCGACAGACGTGATCTGAGACAAGTAGACGTTTTTCAGCAGGCTCGTTATTTCTTGGTCTGTGAAGTTGGCAGCAACGAGTGTGAGGTTTCTGAGCAGAGAGCACTTTTCAAGGCCATAAAAGAAATCAATGGACATATTTTTCACAGGATTCAGCAGCACTCGGTCTGTCTGAAACTCGGAAACCTTCGTTTTATTTAAATCGAGGAGAACCTTGGAAAATATGACCGGGTCGTCATCGACGGTAAAGTTCATTCGGAAGCTCTGAAGCATCTTAAACGGGGCGAACACTCCTGGTTCGAACTTCATGAGCGGAGAGCCTGTGTGGACGTTCAGATGCGTCACGCTGACGTTCTGCAGTGCCGTGAAGTCCGACGCATTGAGGACGTCCGTGCGAGCGGTGCCGATAGTAAGCGACCTGAGGCTGTGCAGATTTGCAAACGCTCCGCCCAGCACGAAAGACGTGTAGTTGTTCATGGCGATGTTGAGGACCTGCAGCAGGCGGAGGTTGCCCACGGCTTCCGCGGGGATCTCGAGCAGCTCATTGTGGTAGAGGTCCAAGTGCTGGAGGAGAGCGGTGTGCGCCAGAGCCCCGGGATGTATGTCGCGAACGCGGTTGAAGGCCAGGTTGAGGACGCGAAGCAACGGCACGTCGGAAAAGTCGTTGGCTAACAGCGATTCGATGCGGTTGTGAGACAGGTCCAGCTGGGCGATGGAGGGCGGCAGCCCGGATGGCACGGCCGAGAGGCCACGTCGCGAGCAGTCGGCCACGTCACCGACGACGCTGCACTGGCGCCCCAAGAAGAAGGCCTCTCCGCGTACACAGGAGCCCGGGTGCGGGAGGCAGAGCAGGACCGCGGCAGCAACGAACATCCCCGGCCAGCCCGCCATCCCAATAGCTGTCGCTCCTTTGGAGATCTGCGAGGTTTAACAAGGCGGTACATATGAGACGTGGGTTTCACATGAATGAATAACAGGAGCCTCAAGTAATTCAGGATCAGAATCAGAAGTTTATTTTCCGAATAATGCCCATTGAGCTGTGACGCTCTTTGCCAGGGTGACTGGGCCGGTTGACAACTTAATTCTGCATGGCTTTTTAATTTGTAATCTTTCGGATTTTTTGTTTTGGTTGGGAAATGCTTGATAGATTTCAAATCCAGGGGTCCCCGATTCGATCTTCTGGCGCGACAGCTGAAGATACAATGTGGTGCAACATTTCTTCAACCCCCGCCCCCGTGTCCCATCCCTCCAAACTCTGCCCATGAACACAACGGATTTGATACACTTGGGTGGACTAATTCTCCTTTTGGTCCAATTTATGGCAAAAAGTCACACCATTGTCTCCATTACCAAAAGAAACCGGTGGTAAAGCGCTGAGGTTTGGCAGAATCAATTGAAATCAAACGATGTGGATGGGGTGCCTTGGTCCACACAGTGGTGTAAATGGGGGACAACCACAGTTTGTCGATCAGCAGGCAAGTCGTGTGTGGTTGGATAAAGTGTGGGTACCCCCGAAAAAGTGTTGGATTGTTCCAAAAAATATATGTGACTTATATTAATGAGAATAGGTTTTCCCCTTTTTTGCTGGCAACAAAACAGGTGTTAAGATGATAAAACACCAAACTGAAACCTTTTACAAGGAATCATGTCTGCATTAACCACAATACTTGTGGTCAGAATGCAAATAAAAAAAACGTACTCTGATAATATATGCATTGTCTTTGAAACTGATTGGTCCACACCAGAGACAGCTTTCTTTGGAGCCTAGTCCTCTGGTCTAACACCGTTTTGAGACGAGGCTGAAAAGAAAGATGTCTCTGGTGTGGACCAATCAGTTTCAAAGACAATGCATATATTATCAGAGTACGTAATTTTGTTTGTATTCTGACCACAAGCATTTGTGACGATGTGTGATGGGGGGGTGAGAAATGTGACGTCACATTAAAATGCGCAACTTTAAACACATTCCTCCGAGGGAGCTGGTAGTAACGTTGGGTTGCTCGGTCAATGGTCAGGGTCAACGGCGGCGTGGTGTATTCCGCAAATATGGACCACTTGTTTGGGCGGACACAAGCCGGCGTGAGTAGGTTAAACGTTGAGTTTTAAAAGGGCACCACGGGGTGACCACATCAAATACGCACTACAATGACGATAGCTTAAAGCGATTTGAAGCATGTTTTATTTTGGGGGGAGGGGGGGGGCAGAGCTTTGTGACGTCATATTTGAGGGAGGGGGGGTCTGGCTTTTTGTGACGCCGCGTGACGATGGGGGGGGGGGGGTCAAAAATCGTCCATAATCGCGTGACGTCATTTATGGACGGCCTCTTAACACCTGTTTTGTTGCCAGAAAAAAGGGTACAACCTACACTTATATTTTGGTACTGGCAAAGGAGGTCCCATGATGTAGAACTTCTATTAATGTTCATTTAAAGAATATTTCAACGATACATTTCATCCTTAGAATGGTTACCAATGAGTTTAAAAACAATTAAAGTTATTAAACCGTAACACTAGTTACATTTTTTTATGAAAATATTAAATTAAATCCCAAACTGAGCCTTCAAAAAAAATCTGTGATATCCAAACAAATTCGAAATCTTAAACTAGTTCCCAGTTCAGAGCAATGAGCGCAGGGCCAATGCTGAATGATCATACGACACGTCTCAGAGCGCACGGTTGTTTTTAAATCCTTTATATTAAGTTCACTTGCTTGCTTGCTTGCTTACGACCGTGCAAATCTTTCGGTCGTTTTTTAACCCACTTCCCGTGATCAAATCGAGCTGACATTTTGCACACAGACTCGTTGTGCGTGACAATTAATGTTCGTGAAAAAATGTTTCCAAAATTTTAGACTGTTTAGGGAAAACAAATTAAATATTTAATTACCAATTGCTTAATACTGGCAGACAATCATCTGACCCATAGGTGGCAGCCATCTCAAGCCAGAGGACGAGAGGACTCTAGCCGCCACGCATATAAAGGATTTATAGTGAAAAACTTTGTTTTACGGGTTATACTTATTTCTCTCTCTCTATCTGAAGCCGAGGGGACGTCCCCTCATGGCAGGCAGCTTCGTCCTTGCGTGGCACGGGGCGTGAACACCGCAGCGGCCTGCAGGTGGAGCATTCATCTGCCGGTAGGAGGGCGATACTAAAGCTAAAGGCCATGAATATGGTCCATGTGTAATAACGTTCAGGAGGACTTGGACGCCGGGGTTGGAGGCACACTTATTTATTCCGTACAAGGTACAATACAGACCGGGACGTACAGCACTGGAAGGGGTGTCGGCCCCTTCACCCGTCTAACTGGGGAGTCACGCTCTAGGCTACACCTAGCCTACCTCTAGGTCCTCCACTATCGGGCTAGGGGAGGCTAGCAAACCCAGCCCTGGTTAAGCTGGGATTACGGCGCCCGGAGTCCCCAGACCAGCTCTGACAAGAGCACCGGCTCTGGCTCTCGGGCCACGCCACTGGCTCGGTCCTGGTCGGCCCTGAGAAGGGCAGCGATCCAGGGGAGTCCAGGGCTCTATCTAGTAGATCTTCCTTCTTCACTGGTTAAGCTTAATACATTCTGCTCGAGCCCTCCGGCTCACCCCCTTATATAGCAACTCCCCCGCTGAGGGGTGGGGCCGCGGGGGATCCCAGCTCCGTGTCAGCCCCCCAGGCTGCCCGTGCGGACGTCGCTGTGAGCACCTCCCCGCGCACAGACATAGCCACGCCCAGTGTGTTTGTTTACCGTCCGACACAACTGTATAACACCCCCTCCGTAACACCCCTACATATGTAGCACGACGAGCTATACCGATCTATCTGTTCGCACATTTTGAGTGCTAGCCCCCTCGTTTGATTTAAATGAAACCTGCCAAACCTCGGCGCTTTACCACCGTTTTTTGTGGTGATGGAGACAATGGTGTGACTTTTGCCATACATTGGACCAAAGGGAGAATTTGCCACCCACGTGTTACACATCCGTTGTGTTCATGGGGTGGAGTTTAGAGGGAGGGGGCACAGGGGCGGGGAGGTAATGCCCCCACCAAACAGGACCTTCATTTAGTTTAAGTAGTTGACGATTAATATGATAAATTAATTAATAATAGAGTAGAAATAATAAAATAATAAAAATAAAACATATAAAATAATTCTCACGACGTTTCGGCCACAACGCAAGCAGCCGTCCTCAGGTGAAGAACAGGTCTGTCGAGAAGACAGAGTCATTCAGACTCTGTCATTCAGACTCTGTCTTCTCGACAGACCTGTTCTTCACCTGAGGACGGCTGCTTGCGTTGTGGCCGAAACGTCGTGAGAATTATTTTATAATGTTTTATTTTTATTATTTTATTATTTCCCTTCTACGTGACTTTACCGAAAAAACAAGAAGATGAATCCCTGTAGTCACGAAAGCTTTAAATCGAAACGGAATTGATAGCTTGAAATCATTTAGCGCGGGGCCCTTGAAAGTGCGGGGCCCGTAGCATCTGCTACTTTTACTATTAGAATAATCCGGCACTGGTCAGCACCATGCCCAGCTGCCTTTGTTTCCCTAGTCACGATGTTTACTCACCACGCCCAGGGAGGCCCAGGACCGGTCCAGATATTCGTCACCGGTGTTGGTCGTGAGCAGGAATCGAACTCGGGTCACCGGATTCGTAGCACAGGGTGCTAATCGATACACGACCGCTCCCCTACGCACGCGCACACAACCGGTCAGCCTTAAATCGCGGGACTTTCAGAACGAGCAAAATGTGCATGTCATTTCTTGTTTAAGCCACTTGTACCGGTTAGTTTGGTTTAGTCGCATTCCACGTCACCTCAGTCCAGTGGCATCGTGTGTGTCGAGAATGTGTCCAAAGCCGGCGGAGGTTGGGGATTGTTGCAGACAAATTGACTTTTGTCGTTCAGAGAATTCAAGAATGGTTAAAAAGAAAACATGTCAATTGGCCACTGCTACTATGTATGTATAATTTATTACTGCTGCAGATTGAAACATTATTTGGCGATATTGCGCTGGAAGTGGTGCACAAGCACACGGAACCTAATAAAACAAAACAACTCAACACAATGGGCAATGGCACGCTTCTTTAATGGCACATAACTAGGCGATAAATACGGTGAATTCCGCGTAAACCCACAGAGAGATTGATATATGTGCACCTCATATTGGAACGCACGTTTGTTTACATAACGCACCTTGATTTCTCAGTAAAATTGGACAGCAAGGGCTAAAAGGACATTTAAAACTATATGCAGTTGTTTTGGTGTCTTGTAAATTCATCTAGTCTGATTCCAAAGTTCAGGATTTTTTTTTATGTGAAACGCCCTCTGATCCTAAATTTTGTAAAGAATGCGTCACCCGGTGGATTATGCTCATGATTCAGAGACAACACTCCTACATGGTAACCCATAATGCAGTGCGCCAACAATATATTATTCTACTTTTAATATAATTAGTTTACTTAGGAATACATGTTTGATTTTTGAAGGGCTTGTCTGTTACTTATCATCTACTCATAGGGGAACTATTCATATGACAAATTAAAATCGCTCATCAAGAAATGGTACAAAAGTTTTCATGAACATTAGGTCCCATGGCGCGTAGTTGTCTCCAACTCTTATTCACCCTATCTCCCTGGCCTCTCTGTTTATATAGCGTATTATCAAGGAGGTCCATTGCCAAAACGTCTGCATTATATACATATTTCATTTTAAGCCTACAGTTGTATTGGATTGAGTAAAAAAAACATAGCTGCAAGAGGTCATCTGAAAGAGTCATCTAAACCAAATGAGATTGAAGAATTATTGATTTTTGTATTTATTGCACGGTTGGCGTACGAACGGCGCGATAGAAGTTCAACATGCATTCATACATATTGCGAGAGAAAAATTTAATGTTTCT